TTATATCAGATAAGATAAGAAGGAATACTTGGACTTTTGTCTTTTCATTTTCTAAGATCTCAATTTTGAATTCATTACTTACTTTTTGTTCTTAAGCAAAAAATATGTTTAAAAAAAATATTTTTCGCTATAAAAGCCAGGCTTTTTGTTAAATAGATCGTTAAACGAGAAAAGAGGAAATTCAAATCAGTTTGAGATCGCGGCAAACGTTTCGTATTACCTCATTCTCGAATCGTTCTCGAAGGCGGGCATCGCGTATAACAATACCTGATAAAAATCGATTAAACTGAGAACGACGGCTTTGCCGATCCAATTCGTGTATGCTAATGGGATCTAATCTCTGTGTCTTTTTTGCCAAACGTACAATCGCCGAACCGATAATTCCGCGTTATCTCGAATAATTTGCTATTACGTAAAATCGCGTGTTTAACCGATTTTATTCCGAATGACTTTCACATCACGCTTTCACCTAAGATCTTTGTCAAAAGTAATCACTGACACAGAAAAATATTACGACGCTTTCATTGTTTTATTGTGTAAAACAACATGTTCTCGTATATATTTATTTCTTTTGTTTAGACTCTCTTTCCTTCGCTTGCGCAATACTGATAGCCAATTTTTCTATATTTCTTTACTTCACAATATTTTTCTGAATTTAATTTATGCTGTTGTTAAAAATTACGATAGCCAAATGATAAAAGAAGTTACCATTTTTTGGTAACACTACGTGCGTGACGGTAATGCCGTCGATCTAGCAAACCGATCGGCGGCATCGACCAAACTGATCAAGTAGTGGCGCTGTGTGCTTCCTTCCTGGAAGGAGAAAGAAGGCCCGACCATTTTGTTGGCGTGTGCGTCGTGGTGGTGCTGTTTTTCAGCCATCTTATCCTGTTATCGCTTCTTTAGATAAAGCTAAAAACGGAAGAGGAATTTTTTGATATCCTAGCAGTGCCTCTAGAAGAACATTACTCAACACGTGGGTGAGGGGCTGATAGCCCAATTGAGGCTGTAAGCCTAACTTGAAGCAGTTAAACACCGGTGTTGAATTGAAGGATGCCAACTAGAAACTTAATGATTAAGCTCGCACTAAAAAGAAAAGGAGCTTTAATTCGAAAGATTGCATGCGATTTTATGGCTTACCAGGTAACTCGTACAAGTAAACCTCTTTTTAAACGACTAGCAGTTCGATTTATTTTGTTGATATGTAAACGGCTAGCAGTCCGTCTTGGTTATATTTATGATATCGGCTAGAAGTCCGTTTTATCATGCTTGGATCATAAAAGGTCTCCTTTGATTGATATTATTAAGATATTATTTCCATTATATTACAAAATAATAATTAACCAATAGAATTACCTCAGGCGTTTCTGCGATTGTGCTGCTTACTAATGGGAATTATCCGTTCACTTTTGTTACCTGATTAAAAGTTTCATTTATATATAGTTCATGTCTTTTTAACCTTAAAATTAATTAGTTAAGTTAAGTACGAATTATTAAAATAAATAGTAGCTTATATTTCGACGTGTTCCGTGTTTTTATTATATTTGTGTCATTTATATATTATAACGTTGTCATTAAAAAAAAAAGGAAAAATAAAAATCAGCGTAAAAACAGCTGTGATATATCAAGAATTGCTCTAAATAAAAACTGTAATTATTTATGCAACCAATATTTATATCGCAATATTCTGAAAAGTAAAAGTTTACATTATAACACCGACATTTTTTCATCTGAAACATCGTCACATTATCTTTAAAAATTAAAGGTACATGCAGAATATATTTAAACATACACATATCTTTTAAAAATACAGATTTTTAAATTTTATTATAAAATGTACAACGCGTATACTTCGTCTTTTGGAAGCTGGTAAAAAATCAATTAGCTAATAAAAATATCGCGTATGTGCATATTTAATTACGAACTAACGGGTGCAAAAGTTTTCCCTTATTACATACGGATTAGTCGGTTCGAATCAAAACCAGAAAAGGTTCCATTGTCCTCGTCCCATTGCTTTTAAATCGTGACTGAACTTTTCTCTGTATTCTTTAATGAAGGCTCTCTCGGGTTCTTCTAACGCTTATTTTACGCCATCTATAAGAAATTCACGAAGGCTTGGCGCGTCTACTTTTTCGCCGACTTTACAATTGAAGTATATTTAATGTGAGCTTTATTTTCCCGTAAACGATGCATTTACGGCAGAAATACTTTTAGTTGCTGCAGCCTGCATTTTTTCTTGAGAGAGAGAGAGAGAGAGAGAGAGAGAGAGAGAGAGAGAGAGAGAGAGTATCCTTTACCATATTTCTCTTGTTATACATCGGTTAATTTAGCTTTGTGCGCTGTGCATGCATCAAGTTACATATCTAAATTATTACATAAAAGCATAATAAAATAATTATATTAAATTAAATAATTGTATAAAAACAATGAGATAAAATTTTTTCAATATTACCGGATATAGAGGACCAATCAAATCGTAAATTAGTCGGTTTTAAAAACAATTTTGAAAACATTCATAACTTTTTCAATAAAAATAGTATAACAATGGTATTCAAAACAATCATCTATTTAAACCGTACGTATGTAGAAATAATGCAATTACGAATATGCAATCGTGTAACGTAATATTATTATTTAAATAACATTCTGTTTACTAGTAACATTTTACAGTCTGAAAAACAGCGCAATATTCAATGTTATTTGAACAATTTCTCAGTTTCTCGTCACATTATCAATTCGAATGAAACAAGTGTTTACAAAAGCGTATTTCTGAGGATTTAAAAATGTTATTTCATTGTACATTTTACCTTTCGTGTCCCGAAAACGATATCAATGCCTCTTGTCACCCATAAACGCGATCGAACGGAAGATCTCGCGATAATCTACTTTCTCCGCGGCGATGAGCTTCCAAAGGAGCCAAAGCGAAAGTAAAGTCGTACGTGACGTTCGCCTTTATCTCTGGACGTAAGAAAAAGAAAATAATGTAGTCGGAATTTGCGGGGGTCGGCGACAGCGGCGGTCCCCATCGCCGTCGTGCTATCGGGAAAATTTTAAATCACGTCCGAGATAATCGAATTCCACGCCGCGCGGGAAGACGCACCACGCTCACCCGGACGTTATTCACCCTTTAATGGCGAATTCGCACCCTCGCCCCCAACGTCCTCTGCCTCTTCTCTTTCTCTTTTTCCCATCGGCGCGCCATTTACGCATCGCTGCTACGGGCGTCCCGGCCCGATCTCGTAAAGAATGCAAAGGTACCCCCTGGAGAACACCCCCGGGGTACGTTCTCTGGACCGTATCGCTCGTAAATTCTATCGTCCATCCTGATTCTGTGAGCTGCGGCGAGAACCGCGCGATCATCTCATCTCCATCACCAATGCGTCGCGTCCTGGTCTCCACTACGTGCCGACGTTCCAGCCGTAGGAGTTACGGGGTCTGACGAGACGGTGCGAAGGGATATCGATATTTATTGGCTTGCCAAACGTGCCCTCGATAAATAACTGTCAGAAGGTCTCGGAGATTAAATTATTATCAACGTACTCTATATGTTTATTGTCTTTCTGCAATATCCGACAAAAAGATATGTGGGAACGGAGCGTATTGACCGTGTATCAATCACGATCGTGTATAAATCTTCTTCCTGCTGCTTGTAAACAGTAGGACCACATTGGTTATTCTACATCTATTGGGATTGTCTTGTATTAGCGTGGATATTTGACATTGGTATGGATGTCAAACATCTATATCAATACACCAGCGGTATTGATCTAGATGTTTGACATAGCTGTGTATGCTTTAGGTATCCATATTGCAAACGTTATTATGGCGTGTCTCGCGGTCCGAAAAAGCATTTGATATTTATTTTGCTATTTATTCTGCTGCGCTCTATTGACTTTCGTTCGCTAAGTATGTACAGCACTCCGAATTGATATGAATTCTCGTTCGCTTGAATTAAATTTGGAATGATTTTACATAAACCATATGCCGAAGAAGCAGGGTGAAGTTAAAGAACCTTATTAATATCCAACATTACTTTATAATCAGTGGTCGTACAGTTTAAAATAATTATCTGTTTATCTATACTAATTTATCGACTTTCGGCAGATTGCGTCATGCGTGTAAATAATGAGAAATTAAATTGCGCAATCGCAAACGAAAAGGATTTGGCTTTTAATATAAGATGCGCGATTATTGTTACATCCTTCCATCAAGTATAATCTTTTAAAGAACGAATAACCGAATGGGAACGAGAGACCGCTATTTTATGACTAAAGCTCGGATGGACTATATCCTCTCAATGCAAGCCGACGAACTCCGACCGAGCGACCGAATATCTCGTCTCTATATCGACGAGAGTTCTCTCGTTTCTCTCTTTCTCTTCCTTCCTTTCGGCAGCTCGTCGTCGATTCGTAAACGGGTCTAGAAAAATGGCCATCGGGTTTTCTATTATCCCGATAAACATCTCACGATGGTTCCGAGTTTGTCAATAGCGCGATGGTGTATAATACAGTTCGAAGCTTTCGACGAATCCTCTTTAGTATAGTAAGTGAAGGCAAATGCAATATCGCACCGAGTGTCCGGGATTACATGTCCTTCGAACACACGCTCAGTTTCTATCCTATTAAAGGATCGAGAGTTCATCTATCTAAGTTCGCGTATCTATGTCATTGTCGGCATAAGACGATTAAATTCAATAGAAAGACATTTGGAAACTGCCGAATTCTCGCGCGGAATCCGCGTCCAAGCGGACGCAAATTCATTGAATTTCTCATGAATATTTTAAAGCGTAGTTTTTGCCATAATCGCTCCTCGTAACGATACGTCATTATTACCGTTGCTCGCGGGTAATTGCGCGCTGTAATTATCATATATCGCGTAAATTAAAAACGTCGATAAAACGTGCCCGGCGGCATGAATCTCGCGTATTCATTGATGGTCGCGGTTGAGCGAGCCAAAAGAGCGAATTTTTATTAGTGTCGTAATGTGTATAGAATACTTACAACGCATGTCCACGCGGACTGACGACGACAGCGGAATCGACCTATTGTTATTCGTGGCGTTGCAGGTCAGCACCGAGTGGACGTCGTCCCGGCTTAAGTTCTGTACAACGATCTCGCTGCGTGTCACACCGCTGGTCGGCGTTGTGGTCCGATTGGTGATGAATCTGTCGTTGCGATACCAGGACACCATTGGAGCCGGTTTACCTACAGAAACAGGTTGATCTTGTTTTAGCTCGTTGCTTGTTAATTCGGCGAAAAAAAATATTAAGGTGATGCTGGAGCGATGATGGTCGAACTTGATTTATTATCGACAAAATGGATTCTTAATTCCAAATCAAACATTATGTACACTAAGTAAAATATTAAATAAACCGTTAAGAACACTTCTTGTTCTGATTATATAGGAGTATATTCTGTATATTGCATGAAAGCTCAGATGCTTTTCCATTCACTTTTCTTGTAAGTTTCAATATCATAATTTGTGTAGGGAAACTACTTTTTGTTTAGATATATATTTAGAATAATTTATATACGTGAAGAAATAACCTACGTGACAGGAAACTGTAATTTACCATTTTTTTTTGTTCTTCATACAGGTTTATACTTTCTCCACAGTTATTTGCGTTTTTTCTTTTATTCTGGAAAAGGATTTCAAATAAGAAAAATGAAGAAAATAGAAAAGTATGAAATGCGCATTTCGTCGGCTTTACAGACGATTCCAGTATTCCCTTAACTCCGATATCGGCGAAATGCGATGCTTCGTATGGCGAAAGCCTTTGCGAAGCAAATCCGCACAGAGATGTCTAACGGAGAGTCGATGATTTCGCTCGTTCGACAGAATCGCGTACCGCGACGCATAAATTTAATGGTACAAGTACCGAGTACCACTCGAGACTTCATTCAAAAGTACGATAATAATAATGAAGGGTAATAATTACAGGCTATAATTAGCGAAGAGAGTTAACATCGCGTAAATGGAATCGGTCTTTCATTATAAACTAACACAGATAGTGTCATTAAACAATCAATTCCAATATTATCGACGCGACGGTCGCAGGCATGAACACTCAAATTATTTATTGCAACTATTCGTATTATACAATGTATCTGTATAATTACTTAATGTAACATAATTTGTGTAATGCATAATCGATGAAAACTACAAGTTAACAAAGATCAGTAAATTAATATTATTGAAGATATTCTAATATTTAGATTAATTAATAGATTAGTCTTTTTGCAATTTAAATTATTAACTTTCTTATTATTTTTATTTTATGTATTTAGTTCCTAATTTCTTTTATTTTGTTGATCAATTATGTATTGCTATCATTGAGAGGATCTGATCCTGAAGCACTTAACGCGTTAAGTGCTTCATGGATGACCTACGCTTGACCTTCTGTTTAGACTGTTTGATATTTTGATTACAAAAAAATCGTTTTAAAATCATTTTTGACATATCTAATTATGATATATTATGCAATTGGTATATTAGACCTTCTTCTTTATAATAAGAACTTTTGTAATTCTTTAAATCATTATATTATATAATCATATAAAATACATGTTATTTAACAAATATAATAAATTCAAACAAAAATATCGTGGGTCATTCACGATATTCTTGTTTACATTTGGGTGACCCATCACTCTGTATGATGGGTGAAGGTTAAGCTACTTAAAATTAACCAAACACGGAACACATTAATAGATAACGATATCTACTTATCTATCTACCTTTTTGGCTTTGTAGAACAACAATAAAATATTTTAGAAAGATTAATTATTTATTAATTAATAATAAATAATTTCGGAATTATTAAATATCTCACAAATATACAAATAAAGAAAAACAAAGTTATTAATAGCGGCATACATAAAAATTTTATAATAATGCTGCAAAATATCATTTTGATAATATTAATCGTGATTGATTTAATATAAATATAAACATTGTAGTTATGCGTTGTATAAATACTATTAATATATATATATACATATAAATATTATTCATCTACAAATATGCACCACGTTTTGTAACATGAGAATATTTATTCGCATAATATTATTATTCATAATTAATAGCTATCATTTATAGAATAAATAGATGGATGTTAATGCATGTAATTGATATATATTATGTTTATAATACATATTTCAAGAGATCTTATGAGTCAATTAACAAGTAATACAACGGAATAATACAACGCCAGAATAATTAAGTCAAAAGTGATAATAATAATTATTGCAATATTGCTTTAGCATGAAAATTAAAACCTTCATTTATATATTCATTTATATGTAGGAATAAATTTGTACAAATTACTAAACAAAAAGAATGCCTCAACCATATATAGTAGAATATCCTTCTATATCTCACTTTTTTCAATCGATCGCAGGATACAAAACCCGCATTGCGGGGCAGAAAAATTCATACAATTTTTTCGAGAATTTCGTAAAAAAGATTTCATCGTTATATACTCTTGTTCAAATTTATAGATGATACTCACCGCCATGAACGTCGCAGAAGAGCCTTAGGTTAGCGCCTTCCATATACGGTCCGACCGTCGCGTCCCGTCTGTTCTCGTTCTCGTCGACAATCGTGATCTTGCGCGGTGGTACTGGAAAACGAATAGAAATGTCAATGTAGTTAACGCTGAAGAATATTCATGGTACGCGCGATGGGAAGCTACCCTGGTAGCGAGTCGCCACGTACGACAAGGGTTGTCCCGGGCGGCGCGCGACTCGGCAGCACGTCACGAAAAATCCGATAACACGAAATTGGTATTGGAAGATCGTGCCTGAGATATCGCGACGGCATTAAATTGAAATCTGAAATCGATATCGGGGCGCCGCGAGAACCCGCGATGTATATTTCTGACGGACGTACATACCGGATGATGCGTTCGCGCGCACTTCTGCTCTCTATCAGTTCAGAAGCTGGGAATTGTCGTGATATCAGATATCGGACAAACGTGAAGTTTGCCGGCGAGCGGAACTTAAAATAATAAGAACGGAGTCATGAGAAAATCAGCGTTTTTATCGTTTCCCTTCGAGAGCGCGTGCGACATTTTTTAATTCTCTTACGTAAATTAGTTTATTCGGAGGAACTCCTTTCGACCTTTCGTGGAGTTCGTGGAAAAATCAGATTGCAATGCTCGGGACGTTTGTAAAAGGAGACCCACTCCGGCAGGCGGAATTCCCGGGCGATGTAATTGGAAAATTACAATCGCAAAAATCACGACGGAAGGCATTCAAGAACGTCACCTCGTTCTAGCTTATTTTTCTTCCTGGCGGCCTTCTCTCGCCGCATAAAGAATTATTTTGGTGCTGCACTTGGAGTGGAATGGCGTTTTATTCTTATTGCAATCTTCTTTCATGGTGCATCAAGCGCGGCAGTCAGAAGCTTTTGAAATCAAAAGCAACTTGGTAAAATACAGTTGTCTTCTTTCAGCTTACATCAAATGTATTATTACTATATTGTAAATAATAATTATGCCTATTGTACTCTTCAGTTAGTCACTTGACTAAGCAGCGACGAGACAAAAATTGAATAATTCCTAACCAGACAATAGGGAGACACTCATCCTCGGTCTCACATAGAACATAATTCCAACATCTTCCAACTATTGTCAATACATCTACGATAATGAATTTGCTGAAGATGGTTTGAAAGAAATCGAAACAAATAAGCTGGTATCGACAGTCACTGTACATTTGTAATATATATATTATGTGAATATTATTAGACTATTGTCTATTAGACTGTTGTAAATTGCGCATCAATTACCACGCTGTGTAATGCTCTTATTGTCCGCACATTATATTATTGTTTTTTAATTTCGAGAATCCGATTAGTATTTAATTTTGATATTATTACTACAACCAAGAGAAGGATAGATCAGTAAATATCAGATCTTTCTCTTAATATTATCTTCTATAATTCTAATTTCAAATTTTTGTACATGTGTCAACCTCGTTATCGAATCTTTTTGATTGTAATATTCAATTGTGAAACTAGAAACTTTCAAGTAAGAGTCTAGTCGAGACAAATATGGTGGTAATATTTGATTCTGTATTGTAGAGTACGTACATAAAAAAATGATTTTGTAGAAGTAAAACATTTAACTAAATATAAATCTGAAAATAATTTTGTTAGACTATTTATAATTTCGTAAGAATCTCAAATATAAACGAGTAATAGTGCAAAAAGTTTTGACATTCTGGCAACCAGTTTGATTGTTCAACAAATTTATTTTCAGATCTGTATCTAGATAAACTTTTAGATACTTCAATATAATAAAATCGTTCTTTTCGTATAAACTTATCTAAATTTTACATGATTCTGTATACTCTGTAATAGATATGCCATTTCCGCTATATTTGTCTTGTGAATAGACTATGTATGATCAGATTCTTTTGAAGGTTTTTAAATAAAATAAATATACTTGACTTCACGCGGACGTGAAAAGTATTTTAAAAATATTTTTAGTTAAAATATCATTGCGAAGACTCCTCTCCTTCCTTCCTCTATCTCAGTCCCTCCCTTTCTTGAAGACGTTTCCTTTCTTCTCGGTCTACATCTCTGTAATCTTGACAAATGATATGCGGGGAAGCATCATTTATCGGTATTAGCCTTTATAGTATTTGCAGTATCACAGTCCATCCGTGTAATACGTTAGATATTTCGATTGCCTCTCTGCCGCCATAAGGAAAAGGTACATGATGTACTCGCGTCGATGCCGGGTCCCGGTGTTCGCGACCTCTTTTTAAAAGCGCAGTCCCTCCGTAAAGACGCAGTAGTCTAGCGGCGCAATAGCGCGGCACGCCATTAATCCGCGACAGGTCTGACAGTGGCGCACCTGCACTACCGCCGTTATTTATTTCAGCGGAAACTGCCGCGGCTGCTCTATACTGACGAGAATTATCGTGCTTTAATGAAACCGATCCCTCCGGTAAAACTCAATTTATTATCCGACTCCGGGCGCGCGCTTTCACGTCCGACTTCGCGTCGGCCACTTTCTTTCCTCTAATTATCCACCGCGTTTAGTTAAAAGCTAAAGTTCGCGCGCGCACGCGGTTTCAGCCGCGCCGCCACCGCGTGAGATCATTCCGCTGCGCAATCATTTTTCATACATCCCATTTTACCTGCGGGAATACGTTTCTTCCTAAGTAAAGCGAATCCCGTTTCGGTCCGACGGGAACTGACGATGATTAAATTTGTTCCTCTCGTTAGCGACCGTGATTAACGTAAAAATAGATCTCGCATTCGTAGCTCGGCGGCCCGGAACGATTAACGTGCGCAATGTTGCGCCATTAATATTCCCCTCTCTCCCTTTTTCAATTACTAAGGCGCGACATAACTTTCTTAGAATTATGAACGCCAGCAGATATTTACGGTTATGACGATACAGCGCAGTCCCCAGGAAATATCTATATAACTCTGGGAAAATGCCGCGCAAAAAGAAATTGATTTCGCATTAAGCTTTATCATTTTCGTAATAAAATACGGTATTCTTATGACATTCTAAATAACGAACTTATTTGTATCTCACAAAATACGCGTTGCATTATATGTCTTAAGTTGATCGATTTATTTGAGACTGAAACGTGCTTCACACACTTTGTGGTCGACTATGTTGCATATAATTAACGCAAAGCTCAGAGCCGACAAGAAATTTTCCATAAAGTATCAATATGTGCTGCAGTTGTTATAACAAAGTACATGAACCAAGTAGGATTTTGGATTTGAGTTTTGAATGCAAACTCTGGTTCCGATGCACGATAAAGGTCTTTCATTAGTATCAAAATTTGACTTTCACAAGCGTCGTTCTCTGATATTTCCAACATACATAAATTTTTGTAGAAATTACCTTGCAAATAACTGTTAATTAAAACGTATGATTGAATGAGACTAATTAAGTACATTGTGTAGATTTTCTTTTTTTTTTTCAAATTTCAAATTACGTTATCCGTTTTTAATTTATTTGTAATTTTATTATCATTCTTTATTATCAGGATTTTTTTTCAGTACGTTTTTTGCAAAATCGTCCTTTTGCAATTTACAATTTAGTTTCCATCCAACAATGTCTCTTGCTCGCACATACAACGGTTGATTAGCACGCGCATTGCGCGAGCTCGCGCATACTTGGCCACCAGTGCGGACTGGTCAGATTTATTGTTTATAAAGGCTCTTGATTTTGGGAACATCATCAGCATCGAGAGAGCGGCATCGGCACGGCCAGGCACGGGAAGTCCGAAACTGTTTTTCGTGATTAATGCTGCGCTGAGGGTGGACGGCGTGGGGAAAAAGGGGTATTAACGGACGGCCGAGCCATCGGGTGGTAATTGTCGTGCCCGCAGTTACGCTGGTTAATTTGAGCCGCCAAAAAGTTACTTCCGCCTTTTGCTCCCGCCGTGACCATAAAAAAAATTTTACTGCGGTTCGCGTGTTACTACCGTGCAAATGAAGCCGTATCGGTGTGCTAACGGCGACCGAGCGCGCCATAACAGCGTGCGGGATTTGATTTCGGACTCGAACTTTACGTTACCGTCGCGCGCGAAGTTTCGCTCTGATAAACCAGTGTTTCGGTGAAATAAAACACCGCGACCGCGGTACAAAGAGCTTAAATCGAAATCGCATGCCGCAAACGGACATTCGTCGAAAACTGCGGCATAATAGTTTTTTTTTTTGCCGATAAGAGAGAATTTTCCGCAAAGAGAGAATTTCGGAGAATAACAGTGTTACGAACTTAATCGTTCGTTTATCGCGAGCGAAAAACTTAATTCTCTGATTGTAATTAAGTGGACGTAAAAAAAATATGATACGATCGAAAATGATAACATAATTCCTCGGTCCTTATGAATAATCTACATAACTATGAATAAATTTTTGGTTTCATCGCGCAAGCTTTGATTACATATTTCTATCGAAATCAACTTAACGAACCGTTTTTATTCTCAAATTACGATCGCAATTTCGCTTTTGTCATCGCATTTACTTTAGCTGCCAGGCCATCGGTATGCATAGTATGCAACATGGCGCGATGAAGTGCAGTCACAACGATTTTTTAATTTTCGATGCGTGACAACAGACCGATTAGACTGCTTTATATAAACTGCGTCACGGAGAACGCATAAAATTGCACCCGTGATTGAAAAATATTTTAGCGGGAAATACACAGAGGTATTTATGAACAAAAGTACGTTTTTTATTCATAAAGCGGCGGCTGCGAAAAAATAAAGCGTCTGCCGACGTCGCGTAAAAAAAAATTGGGTCGATATACGCGTGCACGCATACTGGCGGCATAGAGGGTATATATAAATTCTAAAAGGGGCGGCCGTTTCGATTTTCGTCAATGCTGAGCCGATGAATAGGGTGATCCGATTCGTTTTGCGAGCGTGTTCCGCTTTGGCGAACGCTTCACTTTTGTCACTCGTGCACCGTCTATATTCTATACGCACCCATCACTCGCTCTTTCCTCTTTTTCCGCACGTGCCGAATCAAAATACGTTCGTTAATTCTGAAATGGAGAGCGAGAACATCACGGAGATCCGTCATTTGGCACAACGCACTTATTGCGGCTGTTCGCAAGAGCGTCCCGAATAATGTATTGACTGT